TTAATTATAAAAATTTGAGATTTTATAAATGTTTTACAAATAAGATTTAGAAATTAAATATTTTTATAAATTGATAAAGTGTGATTGTTTTGTTGTTTGATTTTTATCAGTCTTGGGATTGCTCTTTTTCATCTTAAATACCAGAAAATTTGGAACTGAATCCTATAATTTCTTCAGTCTCTAAATCACATCATGTAATATTAGTTTATCCCACCAGAGACTTCAAACACAATAGTTAGGAATCAGTTCCATTTGAATTAATGGTCATTGAGGATTATTGTTTCATTTCAGCTGGTCGACAAACCAATTATAAAAATCATTTTGACACATCTTTACTATATGTTAAAGGTAATTATTGTAATATATGTAACACAGAGCATTTTATTTTATAAGATTTTGCAAATAACTATTTTAAATAGAATTTTGAAGGTTGTAGCAATTTTCGTAACTGACAATCTTAACTATTCAAAACAATATGTTGGCATTTATTTTACAAATCTACCTTTTTTCTTGTTGAAGAATTTTATTTAACCATCTGATTTTTGTTTTAAAAGTGAATATGTCATATAACAGAAAAGAAAGGAAAACGTCAATATAAAATATCAAATACATAAATTTATTTTATTTGTATATAATTTTATGTGTATATTAAAGTATTTATGTTATGAATATTGCATGCAGTGTTATATATGTTTAATTCTAGAAATTTATGTAAACTTATATACCAAAGTCTTATTTAAAATTATACTTTTTGATTTCAAGATCTCTGACCTTCTCTAAATAACGAAAACACACAGTACACAACACCGGTCTGTCCATATGATTTTGGAACCTTTAACAAATATATATTAGAATACATGTTTAATATAAAAATACGAACAGAATTTTCCTGTATGATTTGGATGGACATGAGAAATATGATTCATTTTTAGTACCAAACGTGTTAAAAAGATTTCAGCCATGATCTCGGAAACTTATATAAAACCAAACGTGTTAAAAAGAAACTTGCGTCTGAAGTAAAGAAACAGACCAACAATACCTGGTACTCCCTAATCCTCTTCTTCCCCGTAAATCTTCTTTCAGGTCTCAAACATCTGTTTCAGCCTGCTTAGCTGCCTTTAGGGATTCAAGTTCACTTCCACCTTACCAGACTTTAGATCCATATGATCTTTGTGTCATCTCCACGTCAAGGTCCTGCAATTTAAAAAGAAATCATGTTGCTGAATCTTGTAGCAAATTCGTATAGATCATTGGAAAACTATTACTTTTTGACAGCCAATGCATCTTTGGTGAAAGATTTGCTACCAACTTAATACATGATCTTGATACATATAACACAAATTGATGAGTACCGAGATCATGGCTGAAATCTTAGATAACAAAGACTCATATACACACCTGGGGATGAGAATGGGCCTGAGTTTTCGAAACGAAAAGAGCATTGACGATGAACTAAACCACTAAACCGCAGAGACTTCTCGAAAAGTCACAGATGACAAGAAGGATTAGCATTTGTAAACTAAATATCAAGATAAAACAACATACACACGCAATGCACACCAAACCGTTAAGAAGGTATAAACAGCAACAGAGATCATGCTCAATGACCAAGTTACATAATGCGAAAGGGATCTCATGCAGCTATATTTTAATTCCAATGCATAAAAGCCCGATTATCCCTACATTGAATGCGTGACAAACTGTTGCTTGGCTTGCTGACATCCCCTCCTTTACTTCAGTCTTGAAAGCACTGATATATTCTTTGACTTTAGCAATGGTGGTCTCAGCCAGACATGCGCATCTCCATGTCCTGGTTGCGCTTCAGTGAGACAGTAATTGGCATAGAAGGACTGCTGTTCTTGTACTGAACACTGCCAAGGCTGTAGATTGTACCTTTCTTTGTCTGTCCTCTCTGCAAAAAGAAAGGAAAAATAATCATAAGCCAGCATTTCCAATCACAAGCACTATAACTAACTAAGACAGCCTCAACTCCAATAATCAACTTAGACAATCACAGGCATTTTCAGTCACAGTTCAATAACCAAGTTTTAAACCAAATAAGCTGAAATAAATATAATGAGGATGAGAGAAGAGATGACCTTGATGTATTCTTGGTTGAGAAGAAAGCGCTTTGCATTCGAAGCAGCAATGGAGTCAGTTTGATTGTCGCCAAGTGGAGATCCATCTTGTAACATCTATTCAACGGCTTCCTCAACCTCCAACACCAGTTCCTCTGTACGTTCATCTAGGAAGGAACCATCTTTACCCATGTGAGTCTTCCTCGCAAGGGCTGTGTATGAAGGTGGTTCATCCAAACCTTCATCAACCATCTATAAGAAAGAAAACATATGGAAGTTAGACAACACTTAAGGCAAAACAAAATTAAGAAAAAAACTCAAGGAAAAACTTACCATTTTATAACAGCGTGGGCCTGCACCGTGCTTGTGCATCTTCTTCCCTTCTAGAGCAGATTTACGAGCTTTTGCACTCTTCTTTTTTGCTTCCTCAGCACACTCGTTACATGTCCTGCAAAGCTTACTACTGCGTTATACCTAAATTAAAACACAGAAACCATGTGCAGAAGTCCTAACTTTCATATCAAAAGTGGTTTGGATAAAAAAATATAGGATACTTACATCAATCCTTTGATGTTTGAGCTTTCTGCATCACAAATACAAAAAGCAGAAGACAAATTATAACCAAAAACCACGCAAATCTATGGTTCTGGATCTTACACTTTGAAGAAACTAAACCAAGTTCTGGACCCAGCTTGATAGAAAGAAAGTATTCAAAACAACAAATACATGAAACATAGATCCAAGGAACATACATAGGCCAGGTCATATTGAACTTTGGTATCACCATGGCTGTCAACAAAAGTAGTTACACAGCACTTGTAATCCAAGAGCAGATTAGGGCAACGATAATAGTCACTGCCTTAGGATCATCCAATCTCTAGGGTTTTTGGTGTGGAGAGAAGAGGATAGAAATCGAAGAGATCAATATTCTGTCTCGAGGATGCAGAGACATTAACGGATTTAACGGATTTAAAACTCTCTCTCGAAACTCTTCTCTGTCGATCGATCGAGAAACGGAGAAGGGAGTCGCCAAAGAGACAAAGAGACAGAACAACATTTTTGACAATTTAGGGTGACATGGCAAAATAAAACCCTTCTATTGGTTGATTATTTATGCTTACATGGCATACCTCATATGCTCTTATTTAGAACTTTTAATAGTGTAAGATGTTGTCACTACAACCACAATGTTGCTCACCTGCAATATATGTGTATTTTAGTCACTTTGTCAAACCTTATTCTAATGTGTAGCTAAAAAGGACAAAGAAAAGAAAGCTGGATGGTAAAATTAAATAATTTTAAAATGATTTTATGCATATATTGGTTTATTTAATAATTAAATCTAAAAAGATAAATATATAATAAGAAATGATTGAAACAATTGTTATTAACATCTTATATATTAAAATAAAAGTCACGATTTCTTTCAAGTGTGATTTTTTCTTTTTAATTTGGACCATCATTTAGAAATTTTATTAAATGTATTTTATTAAAACTAATAATATATAGAATCTTCAAAATACTTTAATCATAATCTCTTTTGATATATTTTCATTTTAAATATAAATATATTTATTTAAAACTTGTAACGAATCTATTTTAAAAGATTTTACAAGATCTCATTTTTGATATTATATTTAAATGTTCTCATTAATTTCAAAATTAGTTTGAAATATTCTTATACATTAATATATTCAGTTAATGTTGGTAAGACGGGTTAACATTAGCAAACTATATAATACATGTATATAAATTAACATGTATTTCATTAAAGCTAATAATATAAAATCTTTGTAACTACTTTAATCATGATATCTTTTCATTTTGAATGTAAATATATATATATATATATATATATATATATATATTAATTTAAAAATTCTAATAAATCTGTAAAAACATTTTTACAATAACTTAATGTATTTTAAGTTATCGTTATTAAATGAAAAAAATAGAATATATTTTATTTTATTTACTTTATAGTCATAGTTATCATGTTAAAATACAATTATTATATTAAACCAAATATGATAAAAATTATATTAAAATGATAAATTTAATAATTTTTATTTTCATAAATATAAACTATTTGTTTTGAAAATATGATATGATGACAAAACAACTTAAAATTAGAAAACTATATGATACATGTCTAAAAGTTAACATATCTTATACTTTTGTATATACAATAATATATTATATAAAATATATAAACATAAAAATATCAGTTAAATAAAACCCTACATTGAAGGACGAGTCAGAATTTACTATAAATTAAATACAAAATGATTTTCATATATGTTTTCTCATGAATATATTAATTTGTATAATAATTAAATGAAAATACGATAAGATAAATATATAATAATAAGTGACAAATACATAAATTTTTTAAAAATTAACTAATATAACATGTAAATTATAAATTATTGTATTTTAAATAGTTATATAAACATTTAACTATATGATTAGCATTAAAAATATATCATTTATGTTTTTAAACAAATATTTATGTATATAAAAGTGAAAACAAATACCCGCACGGTTGCGTGGATCAAAATTTAGTTACTAAAAAAACAGAGCTAGCAAAACTTAGCATTATAAGGTAGTTTCAAAAATAACTATTCAGTAAGTATTGATATTAACTAGTTTAATTTTAAATGTTCAATTGTAAAAAAAAAACACTTAATTTACAAATAATAGTATAGATATGTATATATATACTGTACAGTTTTGTTTTGATTTATTTATTTGAGTATGGTATTTTAATAGTTTCAGTATATGCCATGTCATGAAAATGTAGCCAGACACGTCATTAAAAGTAGCCAGCCACGTAGATAAACCACGTCACTGAAAATGTAGACTCTTCTCTAAAATATGAACCGGATCTAGTTTGTAAACCGGTTCTCCGGTATCGTAAAGCTTTTGACTCTGAGACTCTCCTCTCCTCTCCTCTCTTCTTCTCCTTCGCTTGAAACAACGTTCGTCTCTGCGATCTGAAGGTGAAAGATGGGTTATATCGGAGAGACCATAGATTCAATCAAATCTATACAGATCCGTCAGCTTCTCACTCAGGCCATAAGCCTTGGTTAGTTCTTCGTTTCCTCTCCTTTTATGTTAAATCTAACTCAGTCTTGCTTTTAGCTCCAAAGTTGAATTCTTTACCCTTAAATTAGACTACCCTTTTGGTCAATAGAACTAATGAAGTCAATGAATGGTGTTTCATAAGATTCGTTTCCATCGAAAAGTTATCGACTTGATTAGCTTATACTATAAACCTTATAGTACATGTTGTTGTTGTTGTTTGGTAGGGATGATTGTGACGTCTGCTTTGATCATATGGAAAGCTTTGATGTGTGTTACTGGAAGTGAATCTCCTGTGGTTGTTGTTCTCTCTGGAAGCATGGAACCTGGTTTTAAGAGGGTAATATTGTAATTATAGATTGACATGGCGTTACCATTTTTTTTACTATGCGTTATGCTCATAGTGAAATAATCTTGTAGGGGGATATTTTGTTCTTGCACATGAGTAAGGATCCCATTCGAGCTGGCGAGATTGTTGTTTTCAATGTTGATGTAAGCTTCACTATATATATATTTTTGCTGTCTGTCTCATATTAGTACTAAACTACGAATTGGTATTTTTTTTCATGCTTCTCCTCTCAGGGTCGTGATATTCCAATTGTTCATCGTGTCATTAAGGTAAGCTTCATTGTCTTCTTAGTTAGTAACACCGAGCCTGTTCTCATACTTGGGGTTGATCACCTTATAGGTTCACGAAAGGGAAAATACAGGGGAAGTTGATGTTTTGACAAAAGGTACTGTCTTTATTAAATTTCTACTTTAGAGTGTAACACACAATCACATATATCATTTTTTTGTTTGTTTGCAGGTGACAATAACTACGGAGATGACAGACTTCTTTATGCTGAGGGTCAGCAATGGCTTCATCGACATCATATAATGGGTCGTGCTGTCGGGTAAATTAACTTACTTCTAGTCACAAAGGTCTTACACAAGTTTGTTTAGGTCTCTCTCTTAACTTGCAATTTTTGTCTCCTTTAGGTTCTTGCCTTATGTTGGATGGGTGACTATAATCATGACAGAAAAGCCTATCATCAAGGTAAATAATACTAATAATACATTCCCATTCTTTGATTCAATCCAAAATTGAAACTTTTTTTTTTGTTTTTTTTTATTACATTTTGTATCTTTCTCTTCTTGTTGCAGTATATTCTCATAGGTGCATTGGGTTTACTTGTTATAACGTCAAAGGATTGAAGTGTTTTGGAGATGGTCTCTGCAGGCCCTTGTGTGTTATCATCCTTGTTGTCTTGTTATATCAACTTGGTCATTTTGTGGTTTAGACCACTTCTAAAACTGTATGATCAGAAGCTAACTTTTTAATCGTGGAGATTAGTTTTACCCCCCAGAATTCCAAACTTGCTTATTTATGAACAGCAATATAAATGAAACAAAATATAAATACCTGAAAATCCGAAAACCAAATTTGAATAACCAAGGATCTGAATTAGTAGTCCAATAGTATACTTTTTACATAAATACTTTAAATATATAATTCCATACTTTAAATAGAATTACAAAACCAAATTGATGAAACAAAGAACACATTTGTTTCTTTGGTTAACGGCAGCGTCTTTTATTTTTTTTTTTAAGTTATTTTCCTTTTTTTTTAATTTTCTTTTTCCTAATCTATGGCAAATTGATTGATATTAATAATAGAAGTGAATTTGAAGATTCGTAGGTGAACAAGTTTTGTTCTTTATTTTTTATATCTAGTCAAATAGTGAAGTCTATTAATCTTCATTTGTTTCATTTTCAAAAATTTCGAAGGATCCACAAGTTCAAAAACAAAACCAACCCAACTGAATTCAAGTGGTTCTGATTGATCACATACCGAAACATAGTTATAACTTATACCAAACAAATCTTCTGAATCCGATTTCCGGTTTAATCCAAAACCGAATGAATTTTCTGAACCTGCTACCAAAAGGTTGAATGTGATAAGAATCGAACCCGAAAGAGGACTTGAATGCAAAAGTTTCTCTTTTGGGTTAATCTGAAACAAATCTAAGGCTAGGTAGAGATATTAACAAAGAACTACAATATGAGGGACCTACATGAGATTAAATATACTCGGATTGCTCCCACTGACCTCTCTCCCCTTAATGAATCAAACGACGTTGACAATTAAAAAGGAACAATCAAATGTCTAAAACCCTTCTCTCTCGCATCAAACCCCTCACCACTCCTCCTCCTCCTCCATCTCACTCTCCGATAATCACTCCCACCCTCAAAAAACAAGTAAACGACACCGTACACCTCCTCAGAACCAACCCAAACTGGCCCAACCTCCTCAACTCCGACCTCGTCGACATCTCTCCCTTCCTTTTCGATCGAATCCACGACGACGTCGAAACAGGGGTCAAGCTCTTCGATTGGCTATCCAATCATCGAAAAGACGAGCTCTTTTCAAATGGGTTTGCTTGCTCTTCCTTCCTAAACCTCTTAGCGAGGCACAGAGTCTTCAACGAGATCGAATACGTATTGGGTCATCTCAGAAAAGAGAATGTGAAGGTTACTCATGAAGCGTTGAGCCACGTTCTTTACGCTTACGCTGAATCAGGGCGTTTGGAGAAATCTGTTGAGGTTTATGAGTGTGTGATTGAGTTGTATGGTTATGTGCCTGATGTTGTTGCTTGCAACTCGTTGCTGAGTTTGTTTGTGAAAAGGAAGAGACTTGGAGATGCACGGAAAGTGTATGACGAAATGCGTGAGAGAGCTGATAATTACAGTACTTGTATATTGCTCAAAGGTATGTGTAGTGAAGGGAAGGTGGACGAAGGTAGGAAGCTGATTGAAGAGAGATGGGGGAAAGGTTGTGTTCCGAATATTGTGTTTTACAACACCATCATTGGTGGGTATTGCAAGATGGGCGACGTTGAAAGCGCGAGTTTGGTTTTCAAGGAGTTGAAGTCTAAGGGGTTTATGCCGACTTTGGAGACTTTTGGGGCGATGATTAATGGGTTCTGCAAGAAAGGGGATTTCGCGGCGAGTGATCGGCTTTTGAAGGAAGTGAAAGAAAGGGGTTTAGTGGTTAGTGTTTGGTTTCTGAACAATATTATGGATGCTAAGTATAGGCATGGTTCGAAGGTTGAAGTAGCGGAGAGTATACTATGGATAGTGGCTAATGGTTGCAAGCCTGATATAGCAACGTATAATATTTTGGTAAATCGTTTATGTAAAGAAGGTAGAATGGAAGATGCTGTTGGGGTTTTGGATGAAGCAGCAAAGAAAGGGTTGATTCTAAACAATATAACATATGCTCCGTTGATACAAGCTTATTGCAAAATCAAAGAGTATGATATTGCTTCTAAGTTGCTTCTGCAGATGGCTGAGAGAGGTTGCAAACCAGATATAGTTACATATGGGATTCTTATCCATGGTCTTGTTGCTTCAGGTCATATGGATGATGCAGTTAAGATGAAAGGTAAAATGATAGACAGAGGAGTTTCGCCGGACGCTGCCATCTACAATATGTTGATGAGTGGATTGTGCAAGAGAGGTGGGTTTTCGTCTGCCAAACTGCTCTTCCTGGAGATGCTAGACCGGAATATTTCACCAGATGCTTATGTGTATGCCACCCTCATAGATGGATTCATCAGAAGTGGTGATTTTGATGAGGCAAAGAAGGTTTCCTCTCTCTCAATTGAAAAGGGTGTGAAGGTTGATGTCGTGCACCACAACGCTATGATAAAGGGGTTTTGCAGATCAGGGATGCTGAACGAAGCATTGATGTGCATGAATAGGATGGCTGAAGAAAATCTTGTACCTGATGAGTTCACTTATTCCACAATCATCGACGGGTACGTGAAGCAACAGGATATGACTACTGCCTTAAAGATTTTCCGAGACATGGGTAAGACTAAATGTAAGCCAAACGTGGTGACTTACTCATCCCTTGTTAATGGATTTTGTTGCCAAGGGGATTTTAAAAGGGCTGAAGAGACTTTCAAAGAGATGCAATCGTGTGGTCTTGTGCCTAACGTTGTCACCTACACAACACTCATAAGAAGTTTTGGTAAAGATGGTAGTACACTTGGGAAAGCAGTTTACTATTGGGAGCTAATGCTGAGAAACAAGTGTGTGCCTAATGAAGTTACTTTCAACTGTCTACTTGAGGGATTTGTGAAGAAAAAATCTGGAGAAGTTGTTTCTGAACCTATGGGGTCTAATGAGGGAGAAAGTTCTCTGTTTTTTGAGTTTTTCTATAAATTGAAATCAGATGGCTGGTCAGACCATGCTGCTGCGTACAGTTCTGTCATAGTTTCTCTCTCTGTACATGGAATGGTGAAGACTGCTTGCAGGTTTCAGGATAGAATGGTGAAGAAAGGTTTCTCTCCTGATCCTGTTTCATTTGCTGCTATATTACATGGCTTTTGTGCGGTTGGGGACTCAAAGCAATGGAAGAACTCAGTCTTTTGTAATCTTGATGAAAAGGGTCTTGAAGTGGCTGCTAGGTATTCACTCCTTTTAGAGCGACACTTTCCTCAAGCAGTGAACTCTGAGGCTTCAAGTGTGTTACATTTAATGGCTCGAAATACAGACACCAAAGAACCTGAGAATTATAGAATCTGATTAGCAGAGCCGGTCTTGGATGCAAAGTGCTAACGATCACTTGGTCTTCAGTTGGTTTTGTTTCTTGATGTATACTATTGTTTTTGTATTTGCAAACAGGAGCGTTTATCAAAGTCAATAGTACATGAACAAAGTGTTGTTGTTACAAACGTTGTGTCAACTCAAGAATGAAGTAAACAAAAGAATCTGGATTACAGCTCAAATTCACAGAAGCAGTCTGGCAAAGCAAAACCTCTACCAATTGCAAAATCGTTTTTATGAACTTCACGAAGAGCATTCTTCAGCTCAGCACCTTCAAGCCCCTGAGAAGTGAGTTCCGCAAATGCTTTTCTGCTCAGGAACAAAGTATTATGCATCCGTTTATACGTCCGCATAGCTGCAACTATCTTATCCATGTTTCCAAAGTAAGTAGCCACATACGCGTCACTGTTGATGGACACATGATAATCTAATGCAGCTTTTGTGTTTCCATGCATTCTGGTGAAATCCTCTTTGTTAAGTAAAGCAGACTTTGTGTACACGTTTGTGTAAACGGATGTGAAACCTTCCATCTCCATTAGACCGTCTCCAGCAGCTAAGTATATGTTTGTGTTTGTTGGGATGTTCAGTGATTGTAGCATCAGAACTGTTTCGTTAGGAGTCAGAGGGCATTTGCCTCGCTTCCTCCAAATCTGAGCTACTTCTCCTGTCCATGGCTTCCTGTCAACGCGAGCAGCTTCAATGGCGGCTATAGATGAAGGAGAGAGGCTTGTGTATTCGCATTGGCTGTAAGCTACCATGTCAGGTTCAAATCTGAGATGAAGGGACAAGAAAGGTTTGGGAATTGCATCGAAAAGCTCGGTGGCTTTCTTCTCCAAGGAACTTGTAAGGCGTAACGCTGAGTAACAAGCTTGACACAGAGTGGCTTTTGCATACTGGGGATACCTGGAAACCCATTGTATGAAGTGTAAGAAACTTGAAAATGTTAAGAAAAAGACAAGATAGGTTTAGTTAGAAAGTCACCTGTCTCTACGTTGGCTCATTGCTGGTGTGAAAGAAATGTATTGATGTTCCAACAAGGATGGAAGAACACTTTCAATGTAATCAAATTGACCTTTCCGTTTGCTACAATCGACTCCGAATGGTTCTTTTGATGCAATATCTTTAGGTAGCTCTTTTACAACTTGGATAAAACCACTCAGCTTTTGAATGAAGTAGTCTACATCAAACACATCTGCAAATCCACTGCACCAAGAGCATCACAAACATTAATCATCTTAACTTGGTCCAAACAACAATACACAGTTAAATACATGAGACTTACCTTGACTCATTCCAATACGCAGCCACCTCAAACTTTGGCAGAACAAGTGTCGCATTCAACAAACGAGCAATCCCAACTCCATCACACAGCTGCAAGTATTACCACATCATAACCATTTATCTCCCAAGGCACAAACAATACAAGTTTCACTTTGCATTCTGAGACTTACATCGCGTCTCATCTGATTCAGGCCGCCATAGCAATCAACACGGATGTATCCATTAGTTTTAGCTGGTAGAGCTGCAGTATTTGAACAAAAAACCAAAGCAGTTGTCTGCAATGAAGACCCATCACAAAGCTCAGAGAAGTAAACTCTCACTACAAGTATTCTACATTCTACTCAACTAAACAATTTTTTTGTTATTGTAACCACATATCAGACAAGAACCCAATCAATGGAACAAAACTAGAGCGAAACTGTTTTCAACTCAAAGACAAGAGAGTGTGCATACGAGTGAGATGTCCTTGTAACCACCATTTGCAAGGCCTCCATTCCATTGTCCTCTTGACACTCCATATTACAGAACCGCCCCTGAAGAAGACGAAACTAAATCAAATCTTACTTGAAGAAAACTCATGTAAGATTGTTCTGTTTTGTCCATCTCTTGCAGCCAACAAGACAGCATTTTGACTGCTACCCAATACTGTAACTGAAGATTACGGAGACAAAAGCACTTACAGTGATGAACTGGAAGGAACCGGTGGAATCTGGAGGAAGTGTGGCGACGGAGATAGAATGATAACGACGAGGAGAAGAGAGAAAGTTAAAACGAAGACGAATAGTGGCTTCACCGGGGATGAAATCATTTGATGGGTTTTTACAAATTCAACTTCAGAGAAAGTGTATCAGATCTATAAAAAGCTTCACACTTTCATCGTCGGTGGCAAAACTCTGTTTTCTATCAGAGAAACTCTTCTTCGGTTTAAAAGAAAAAAAAAAAAATTTATTCTCCCAAACCTTCTGTCTCAGATAAAAGGTTTCCGTTGTCCTTTATGACGAGTATGTATATGCATACTGTTATCAAGCCAATATACGTGTTCTATACTTGAATGTGAAGAAAAGAGCTAGGAAAACAATCTGTGTTTAATATTATGATCCAAAGAGAAAACGTACAAGTAGGGTCGAATATGGAGGGGATTAGAGAAAAAACACCACTCTCCAAGATATCTATTGTTACATGAACCACAGTGAGACTGTGAGAGTCTCTTGTCTTTAGAGAACGTTTCTCGCTATTAGCTCAGAGTCTCTTGTCTTGTCTTTAGGACTACAACGTTCCTCGCCATTGATAAATCCAAACTACTCTTAGAGCCAATTTAGATCTTGAGTTCTTATTATAACTCTAAGATATTTATCAACTTTATTATTCATATGTTTCTCTTTCAAGCTCAGAACCATCATCTTCGCTTCCTTCACTTCTACGTCCCACTCTCCTCCTCTTCCCTCTCATCTCAACCGCCATTTCTCTAACCTTACAAGAACTGCTCCTCTCCATCTTCCCCGCCAAAACATCCACAACATCCATCTGTCCCCAACCCACTAACCTGTTCCTCAACATCTCAACCGTTGTCGAATACGGCGGAATCCCATCATCAATCATCATCTCAAAGTACCTACAAGCTTCTTCCATCTTCCCTTTCTTCCTCACCAACCCATGGATCATCACAGTATACGTCGCCACCGTCGGATAAAACTTCCTCTCGCTCATCCCTTCCCACATCTCCGTGGCCCGGTCGAATCTCCCTATCCTTATCAGCAACTTGAGAACCATATTGTAAGTGTGCCTATCCGGCAAACACTTTGTTCTGTCCATTCTAGAGACCAGGTTCGTTGCTCGGTTCACCTCGCAGTGGTCGCAGTGATACGCCATTATCGAATTGTATGTCCAAGTATCCGGATCAGCTCCGCTCTTAACCATCTCATCCAACAGCAAGTAAGCATCATCAACCTTCTCCTTCTTGCAGAGCGTCTTTATAATATGATTGTAAGTGTACACATTGGGTACAAGTTCGTACCGTTTCATCCGATCAAGAACCTTATAAGCCGAGTGAACATCGTCCGCATCACAGTACGCGTGGATGAAAATCGCGTAGCTATACGCGTCAGGCTCAAGTCCGAGCTTACCCATTTCTTGAAACATCTTATACGCTCCGTCCACGTCGCCCGATTTGCACAACGCGTCTAGAAGCGCGTTGTACGCGAGCAAGTCGACTTCGCAGTTTCTCTCAAGCATTTCATCGAACACCTTCCGTGCGCCCGACGCATCTCTCACTCTCGCCCAACCTCTCACCAAAACGCTATACGTCTTGGCGCTAAATTCGGACCCAAACCCGTGTTTCGCCTTGTCGAACACTTCCTGCGCGTGTTCCACGTGTTTCCGATCGCAGAGGGAATGAAGAAGCTGGTCAAGATCATCAACACTAGGCTTAATCCCAAACTCAACCATTCGATTAAAAGCACGAGTAGCTTCAGTTGGTAAGTTCGCTCTGCTATAAGCTCTGAACACAATCCAAAACACTTTAGGACCAATCTCGAAGTAGTTATACTCTCTTGCTTCGATCAAAAAGTCCCAAAGCAAAGCGAACTGCTTGCTACTACCGAGAATCTCGACCAAAATGTGGTAACTTTCCGAGCTGGGTTCGAAGTTTGGGACTCGTCTAGCCCAGAGGAAGAATCTGTGAGCGGGGAAGCCGAGGTTTTTGCAGCGTTTCAGGACTTGTTCGATGAGGTTGGAGGAGAGTCGTGGAGAGTAGAGGGTGAGGGTGTGTTCGAGGTCGTCTTTGGGGTTACGGTGATCGCTTAGGACGCGGGAGATCTCGTTTACTAGTTCTGGTGGAGGTGGATCGTGTACAAGTGTAGAGAAGAAGCGTAATGAATGAGGTTTTGGGGTTTGGTGAAGAGTGGCGCGGACAAGAGAAGAGAATGTTCGAATCGCCATGTTTGTTGCGTCTGGACAAATGCAATTGGAGCCATGCTGAATCGATAATATACGCAAAGCCCATTATAGGATCTGTAAAAAGTATGTTGGGCCCAAGACTTTTTGATTCATTCCTTCGGTTGATGTTGCCATTTCGATTGTAAAATTCAGAAAATAGTTGTTGGATTATTATGTATTCTGAAAAGCTGTCCACATTCAAACTAGGACCTGGGAGTTTCGGATATCGGTTCAGTTCGGTTTGAGTTTTTCAGGTTTCGGGTAGTTCGGTAGAGGGTTAAAGGATTCATTTACTACTTGATCTATTTTCGGTTTTGTTCGGTTTGAGTATTTCGGGTTTCAGGTAGTTCGGGTAAAGGGTTAAATGATCCATTTACTACTTGACCTATTTTCGGTTTGGTTCGGTTCGTGTTCGATTCGGTTCGGATAGTAAAACTAGGAAGCATAAAATAACTAGAAAATTCGGTTCTCATTTAGTTCCGGTTCCGGTTCGGGTAATTTGGGTAAATTATCAGTTATTTAGAATAAAATATAAAATAAATAGAACGATTTAGATACAAATTTTAGATATTTCGGATTACTTTGTATATTTGGATAAAATTATCTGTATACTTTTAGATAGTTCGGATACTTTATAATTATTTAGTTATCTTCAACTATTTTTGGATATTTCTAATAGATTTTTAGTTATGTTATATGTATATAAAATTAATATTATTATATATTCGGATATCCTTTCGGTTCTCGGTTCGGTTCGGTGGTTTTTTGCCCAAGCCTAATTCAAACAAATAAAACATATTTTTAATATTTAATAAATCGGCCGTTAAAAAACTTTGTTATAACCACTTTTCCTTATTTAGTTTTCAAACTTATATATTGTTATTAAAAGTCTCTGATATCAATCAATATATTAATGAGCCGGAATAATCTGCCGTTCCTGTCCATGTTTTCTTCAGAATATATGTGTATTATGTTCATGTCCATCCCGACAAAGAGGTATAAAAAATTGCAGCATACGAGTTTTGACAGATTAAGATGGACTCGTAGGACGTGATATTAGAAATTATCTATAAATGTAGGCATAACAAAGATTTCAAGTTAACTTCTTGACATGATAACCACAAAGGGCTACCACCAAACATAATAAATCATTTTAAAAGAGATATTTGAATATTTTACTAAAAAGAGGATAATACTTGAAAAATTCCGACTCATACGATAATAATTCATAAAGTCTTCACTGTTATTTGATTGCTAATTGGCGAAGTAGTGCAGAGTTTCATCAGAACATGTATTAATACTTTCTTTTTAAAAAACATGTATTAATCACTTTCATAGAGCGCCAACGAATACACCAATATAATACACAAACGCACGTATAAATCTATTTAACTAGATTTTTATTTGATTAATTGACCTTAACTTCTCCAACAACCGTCATTAGACATTAGCAACGTGCAAGTCAGTCCATGTTAAGACTAATAAACACACCGTTCATATAAAATGTTTACACAAACAAATTTTCAAGAATCTACTCTGGAAAAAGTTGAAAAAAATGGGGAAAGATTTGAAGAATTTGGTTAGATGCATCTACACTGGGAAGCTCAACGATAATGTGAGGAAGCTAAAGATCGCAACTGAAGAACTCAAAGATATTGGGAACAACGTGATGAAAAGGGTCAAAGTTTGCGAAGAGCAGCAGCAACAGATGAAGCGGCTAGACAATGTCCAATCATGGCTTAGACAAGCCGACACTGTTATTAAAGAAGCAGAAGACTTGTTCTTGATGTCTTCTTCTTCGAGCCAAGGGTTATTATCTTCAAGCCACAAGATGGAGAAGAAGATTTGCAAGAAGCTGAAAGAGGTTGAAGAGATTAAGAGCAGAGGAATGTTTGAGGTTGTTGCTGAAAACGTTGGAGGAGGAAGCGGCTCCACGGTTAAGACTAATGATGAGGAGACCGTAGGGTTAGAGGCGGTTTCTGGTTTGGTTTGGAGGTGTTTGACGATGGAGAACACTGGAGTTATTGGATTGTATGGTGTGGAAGGAGTTGGAAAGACAACGGTTTTAACTCAGGTTAATAATAGGTTGCTTCAGCAGAAAGCAAATGGGTTTGATTTTGTTCTGTGGGTGTTTGTGTCTAAGAATCTGAATCTTGAAAAGATTCAAGACACGATTAGGGAGAAGATTGGTTTTTTGGATAGGACGTGGACGAGTAAGACAGAGGAAGAGAAAGCTGCCAAGATCTTTGAGATCTTGAGTAAGAGACGTTTTGTATTGTTTCTTGATGATGTTTGGGAAAAAGTTGACTTAGGTAAGGGTTTTAAATGAATTACTTGTGCTACAAGAAACAAAGTGTTTATTTTATTAAATTTGTGTTTTTTTTTTGTAAAGTGAAAGCTGGAGTTCCACCACCTGATGCGCAGAACCGGTCGAAGGTGGTGTTCACGACTTGTAGTGAAGAAGTTTGTAAAGAAATGAATGCACAGACGAAGATTAAAGTGGAGAAATTGGCATGGGAGCTAGCTTGGGACTTGTTTAAGAAGAATGTTGGAGAAGATACTGTCAAGAGTCACCCGGACATAGCAAAGGTGGCTCAAGAAGTTGCTGTCAAATGCGATGGTCTTCCACTAGCTTTGGTCACCATTGGTCGAGCCATGGCCTCCAAAAAAACGCCACAGGAGTGGCGTGACGCTTTATACATCTTGAGTAACTCTCCACCTAATTTTTCAGGTACAAAATTTTGTAAACTTATCAAATTTTTTTAGTCAGTACACATTTTGTATAATTTGTTTTTACTAACTATCTTTTTATTGGGTTGTAATAGTTCTCAAGTTACTGGACAGGAACTAAGTGAAGGAAGTTGAGATGATATTATTATTCGGAGTTTTTTAAGTTACTGGCTAGGTTTCTTTTGAAGAAATTGTTTGATTTTTATTTTAATAATTGTGCATTTGTTTTGTAATTTTCCCAATGATTTTTTGATAAAAATAATAATTTTCCCAATGATCTTATATATGAATGAATGTTCTATTGTCAACAACAACAACAACAACAAAATATCTAACTGACTCCAATTTACTGGAAAAAATGATTATATCATGTCTATCTTGAGAAAAAACATAGACGCATATACACAAAGAACAGAGGAAAGTGAGTTTTGTGACAGCCAATGATTTTCGAAAACATTTTCTTGAATCTTGATATTTCAGATTTTTTCATAAAAATAAGATTTTACTGTCAACTATATTTTTCATTAATAAAATATTGTATTAAGTACCAATCGTTCGTTAAAAATACAATTATTATATTTCTCAAAATAAACGGATTTTTTATGCCGCAAGATCCAGTGGCAGCGACAGAAAGAAAATTAAACGTCAATATCGCTGATTTATTCGCTGTTAGTTGCCTCAATCAGTTAACGATGCTTCACTGCTATTGTGTGTTGTCATTGTAAAGGTTTAATTGTCTGACGCTCTGACACAGTGTTGATGAAACGAACAGAGCTGATATAATGGTGAACAAGCAAAGTAGCTAACCATAATATAATGATTTATATAGGATCATAAACGCAAGTTAATCAAGCTGGACTAACAATCAATTGTTTTTTCTTTATAAAAATTAAAAAGATAAGATGATATTATTGTACGATCATTAATAAGATAAATAAAACCCTTACTAAGGGTTATGATGACTGAGACACGTAACAATGTCTCAACTTACAATAACAAAAAAATATATTACAATAACAAAAATACAAAAAAAAATCAAAGAACAAATATAGCAACCAAAACACACAAAAATAAGCTTTTTTTATTTATGTTGACAAGATCAGGCCAACATTTTCTTAAAACACCTCCTTTTAAAGATTTCTGGACTGGGCGGGGCTGCTAGGGTTGCTCGGGCGGGTCTTGCCAGCGGGGCTGCTAGGGTTGTTAGTGGTCGGATTCATCCCAAGAGTGTTCTTCACAGCTTCCGCTGCTCCTTGTGCCATATTCTTCACTTGTCCTCCTGTCTACACTCCAAAATTAACAGTAAATATGTTATAAGATCATGGCTATATCATTTTTTAATAATAAGGAAAAACAAGTAAAAATACCTGTTGAATGACATTCGAGGCCTGAGAAACTAGGGAAGGATTGTTCTGATCATGTTCTGCGTGTGAATGTGAGTGAGCGTGATGATCAGTATTCTCATTCATTGCGTGTGATACTTTGTCCAAATACTCTTCCTTCTTCAGCTGTAATTAAAATGTATAAATCATTTGAGAAAATCTTATTTAGAAAATTGATATATGGTCAAAGTTTGAGAAATCAGAATAAAAATGTTACGTTTACTTCAGCCCCATAATTTTGGGTCTCAAGTATATTTTAGAAAATTTATGATATCAATAGATCACCCAGTCAATATCATTTTATATATGTTGGAAATCCGAAAAGACTTGAGCGATCGTGGCTATTTACAATATCCTTTGAAATTGTCCTTTTGTGTTTGTATGTTTACCTGAACTTGACCGGTGGCTTCTCCGGCCCTGTAGTTTAGTTCTTGTCTTGATGACATCTTCTTTTTGGATCTGTGAATGACTCTCTAGTTAAGATTTATAGAGTACTTGAACGGATTGATATGGTATTTATACAATTGGAAAGTTCTATTATAGTAAAATCCTGGATTTAAGCATTTCACTGACACGTAAAAACACAATTTGACGATTGATATGGCCAAATTTTGTGGAGACGAATAGTTTTAGCCTTTTAGGACGTATTATCCTAAGGCGTTGATTGGTCAAGGAGTGGAGGAGGATGTCTGGAAATAGGAAGATTTTAACCCTTTTTTCCCGGTGACATTTGTTTTCCACAAGGAATTATTGATCATGATTAAATACATCAATCATTTAGAACAAAAAAAAAGTACATCGAAAAAAGAGAAGAATTGAGCAATAATTTCTCAATACAATTTAAAAATCTAAACTATTAAAACTAAAGTACATTTTATATTAACCCTGACTTTTCCACAATAATTACCATCATATGCCACTGGATTAAACCAAACTGTGTTCCATTAACCAATTAAATTCACATTTCAGCTTGATTTTCGCCACAAATCTAAACCATCATTAATAACATAACCGAACCACATTGATTATCGGTACAAAATAAAGGAAAGACTATCATTTTCTTTGAATTCATTCTCTTTGTTCGTTGCCTACATTCAAGAACTTACCAAATACAATTCCTATTTTTTAGGCTAAGAAATTAACTAAAATGATTTTTTTCTAATCACTTCTGCATATTACGTTCAATATTTTAAATGTGTTAAGAAATGAAGATGGTGGTTGGGACATATCCGGAAATGGACCAGACCACATCAGTCTACTTCAGTCCCAAGACTAGGCGGCCAAGACTTGTCATTATCCTCCCTTGTATTTATCCATATGTTGTAGATATCCTAATCATTATAGGATTAGGATAATCATCCCCTTTATTTGTAGCAATCCTTATCTCCTAAGG